AAAAAAAAAAAAAAAAAAAAAAAAAAAAAAAAATCAATGGAAAAAATATGCACCAATTAGGATTCACAACAACAAAAGTTTTTTGGTTACTATTTATGTGAAACTGGCAATCAGGAAGGTTGAGGGTAGGATGGAGGAAGGCAAAGGGGAGAAAATGGTAAACATCTCTAATCGAGTCAACAATGAAAAAGTAAATAACAACAATGAGTCTGTAAGTAAAAGGATTGCAAACCTTTATTGTCTTGGTCCTGGGTCTAGAGTGACTATGTCCCTGCCTGAGACTCCTGCTAAAAGCCTTTAAGGTCTCTGTTCTCGGCTTTAATTTCTCAGGGAGCTCCTCACTAAACTGCACCCCCCTTTCTGACCCACTCCAGGCACACCACAACTGCCCCTCTGCCTCCATGGGAATTCCGCATTTCTGAAGAATGGTTACCTGGTTGCATTTTCTCCCTCCAATAAAGGCGGGCCCGCCAGCAGCCACCGTTTATGGTAGCTGCCTCTGAGCCTCTGAGCCCAGATTCCTGTTTGTCTTTCCCTTTGCCCATTAAAATATAGTTTCTGTTGACATATTTTGATTCTTTCCACTAATAATCTAGCAGGAATTGTGAGGGAAACAGTGTTCAAATGGCTGGCAACCAAAATGACAACGCCACACACACACAAATCCTCTGCGAAACTGCCAAGCAGTGCGAATGCTCACGTCTGCTGTGAATGTTCAGAGCTCACTTATGATGAATGGCAGAAAATATTTAAGGATTCCACCGCTTCTTCTAGAAAATGCCATCACATAGCTCTGGGACCGCTCCTTTTCTTCCTGGCTCACAAAAAGCCTACGGTAGTTAGTCAAAATAGATTCTGTGAGAGGTTGGTAAGCCAAACTTTAAAAGGCTGAGAGCTATATCTTATAAAAACTTTTCCAGGAAAAAACACGATGTACAAGTCATTTTACGAGCTTAATAGCTGGACATTAGAAATGGACAAGAATATGAAAAAAGGCATATAAGTAGTCTTAGTCCACATCTTGAACTAAGGTGAGAAAATATGAAATAAAATATTAACCAAATAAATTCAAAATCTATGACAATTAATAGTGAATTGGGAGGGGTTGTTTCAGGAATGCTGCAATGGTTTCCTGATCAAAGCTCCATCAATGCAAAAGCATTTTAAATTATTTCATTAGTACATAGAGAAAACGCATTTACTAAATGTTGCACTTATTCAATTTATCTTTAAAAGGAAAAAAAAAAAAAAGGAATGCTAAGAGGAGAGGGAACAAATATGGTACCTTTAAGAGGATAAGGGAGCATTTACTTTAAAGACTCAGCTAGATAGTGTTTACTGGGGAACTGTTGGACCCAACAAGGCAAGGATATCTTGCACCACACCACTATTCACCACTAAAGGACTAGGGCACCACATTCGTGCACCGAGGGGTCCTTAGCGCTGCCACCTCCGCTGTGCTTGCCAGCCATAAGCCTGGCTTCTGGCTAAGCAGCACTCCCCCTGGCTAAGCAGCACTACCAGGGAGCAGCTCCTGTGTTGAGCATCTGCCCCCGGTGGTCAATGGGTGTCATAGGGACCAGTCATTCCACCGGCCAATTTGCATATTAGCCTTTTATTATATAGGATAGTACTGAAGGCCCTCGCCCACACACTAGGACAGAGCCTCTCAGCCTTGGCACCACTGACACTGTCATCCGGGCAATTCTTTGCTGTGGTGGCCTGTTCTATGCATGGGAACACACTTGGTAGCTGGGCTGCCCGCTACTATTAGATGCCAGTCACACCCGTTCTCCCCTCCTTGTGACCAAAGGCCACCAGAAGGTTGAGAACCACTGCTCCCCACCTTCTGGTGATCATCTAATAAAGCCAATTACGTCACTCTGTGTACCCCGTTACTTTCAACATGACAGCCATCCTTAGGGTATCCTCTGAGACTTGCCCTGACAGTCCCCTGGCCCCTCTGCCCTCACTCCCCAGCTCCTCTCCTCCAGATATTCTTGCAGTTCCCCAGAACAGGTAGTTCTCTCACACCTCCTCGCTTTGCAGTGTTTTCTCCCCTGGCTGCCTAAAGATCCTCTTTCATTCCTCCTGTGAGGAGCTCTCACTCCTTTCTCCTCAAAACCCAGCCAAGATGTCTAGGCCCAGGTGACCTCCAGGGTCTGCTCACAATACTGCAAGTCACCTCTGTCAGGCCTGGCACTTCCTCTTTTCTGAGAGTTATTTCATCTCTTCTTCTCTGGGAGCTAGGGATCCAGCACTCAACCAGCAACACAGCAGGCTGTCTTCTGAATGAATGCCCAGCGGGGGGTTTCCTCCTGGACTTGGATGAGGCTGCTGAAAAACACTGCTCCAAGGTCCTCCCCGAAATAGCTCGCTTTTCTGTCTCAAAATAGAAAATAAATGCATTCTTCCATCCATCTTCTCTTGTGGAGAGAACTCCTCACAAAATGAGTATTTTGGATCTTTTGTGAGTGTCTGATTTTCCCAAAATTAAGTTCATGCTTAGATACTACCTTCACTTATTTAATGGGCTTAAGTTTAAAAGGGAATCAGATAGCTTCCTTCCTGGAAGAATTTGGCAAGTCACAGCTGCAGGGAGAGCCCCGCCCTCCTATGTCACCTAACAGACTGGAAAGTGGGGGCAGGCGGCTGTCACCCGGAAGCCTCGGCGGGTACCTGTCACCTGGCTCTTTGCAGGCGGGTTCCTGTCACCCGCCTCTCCCAGTCTTCACCCTGGAATGAATGTCACTGCTTTGCAAAGTTTCAACACTTGGCATGTGCTTCAAACAATAAAAGTGTCAAAACCGGCTCTGCTGCTGTGCATTTTATTATCCGCGGGTAGTCTCACATCCAAAGTTCCTCTTGATGGGTGGACACCGGAGACTCTTTAGCAAATACCACCGAAAACACCTGCGTGTAACGTTCACCGATGGCTGTTTCCTCCGCTCACCGCTCAAATTAAGAGGGCTTTGACAGATGATGTTGTGTGCACGCTCTCCTTGTTAACTGTATTCAGGTAATGGATGCAAAACACAGAAATTAAAGAATTTCCCCCATGCTACATGTTTATCATTCCAGCTGAAAACAAAAATCTGTCTACAGACCTTGTAAGGAGAAGGGTGAAAACAAAGTTTCATAATCCAAAACATGTCAAAACGTAATAGGCTAAAACTGGGACGTTGTGAGACTGTCTTTCCTGCCTTAGGAGGCCGAGGGAGAGGTTGCTTTTCCTCTAAACCAGCATTTCTTAAGTTGTTGCTGAAAATACTTGGTGGAGGGCCAGCACAGCATAACTGATGTTGCTGAAAATATTTGGCTGAGGCCATAGCCTGCCTGACTGAATCCCAAGTCCGTGACCTGGAGCAAGTTACCTAACCTCTCTGTGCCCCAGTTCCTTCGCCTGTAAAATGAAGACAAAAATAGTCCTCACCGCAGAGGACTGCTCTGAGCATTGAGAGTTTGTATTTCAAAGCACTCTGAACACTGCCTGGCACAGGGAGGCACTCAATAGGATTGCTATTCGGGAAAACAGAGACACTGGGAACTACGCATGGCAAAGTGTTCAAACGCAGCTTTGGGTGAGAAACCGCACCCGCTCACCATGAGCACCTGGGGCCCGTCTACATCCTAACGAAGAATGAGCAACAATGGATCCCAGCTGCAGAGCGGTTCCTAGTTTGACTGAAGTTCTGAATTTCCCTTTCAGTAAATGGGTATCATGGATGCAGGGCCTTAGGGGAGGGAGTTCCTATATCTGCTCACAAGTTTCACTGGCTGCCTCTATGACCCCAGAGAAATGAAATACCCTCTTCCCTAGCTTGTTCTTCACATCGTGGCCCCTAGGAATCTTCCCAATGTTACCCAGCCCTACTCCTCTGGCGACACCTCTGCTGGAATCACCATGGCTCAGGTGCATCCCATGGTTTCCTCTTCTTCTTGTTTATAATTTCCTTAATCGGTCTTTCTCTTTGCCTACGGCCCCCACTTCTTAATTGACCCACTCATTCCATCTCTTCTCTGAGCATCTCAATTCATGAGAATGACATTGATGACATGAGGAAAAGTATTGGAGACAGAAAGGTCCAGTTTTTTGTTTTTCCATCTTAAGTTAGCAGTCATAATTTGACAAATATTTGTTGACTATCAAGTGCAACCCCCTGGCTGCTGTGGGAAGTGGGAAGACCAACGGGACACCAGTGGTCTGTAAACTGAAGGGGTGTTGGATATGGACACTAACATATATTTGGGAGATAAAGCCACGTTTTCTAAGACATGATAAACGTGTGAAAGAGAAAACAAACGCTGCCTGTCCTCATAACCTCCTCTGAGCCCTCTCCTCCCTCCCACTCCTAACAGGACTAACAAAGCCCAGAGGCCTAGGGACCACACAACCCTGGATGCCAGGACAGAGTGAGGACCAGCTCACAGACGGCCACCTGCTGAGGACTCAGCGACAAGGGCACCACCTCAGAGCCCAGGAGATGAAGCCCGGCTCCTGAGGCCCTAACTGCCCACTCCTCACAGGCTCCCCAGGGGGGTGGCTGCACTCACCAGACTGCTGCCTTTCCTCCATTACCATCCCACATCCTGAGCCTGGGGGGGGGGGGGGGGCTCACTGCGCTTGCGCTGCAGGGCGGGGCTGGGCGGGGCCTGGGAAGGGATGGGCGGGGTCTGGCCAGGAACTTGGCCAGGTGAGCGGTTCTGGGGCGGGGCCTGTGGCGGGAGGGGCGGGGCCTGCGGCGGGTGGGGCGGGGCCTGCGGCGGGCGGGGCGGGGCCTGCGGCGGGCTGGGCGGGGCCTGCCATGGGCGGGGCGGTGCCTGCGGCGGCTGGGGCGTGGCCTGTGGCGGGCGGGGCGGGGCCTGCGATGGGCGGGGCGGGGCCTGCGGCGGAGGCGCGGAGCGCGGGAACTTTGAGAGTCAGCACGGTGGCGCGGAGCTGAGCTTGCGGGCAGTTGTGCTCTCAGAGCCCTGAGCCGGGCCGCAGGGCCGGCTGCGCGATGGTGGAGGGACCGGGGTGCAGGCTGAGCGGAGAGAGAATCCGGGCGCGGGTGCGGGCGGGCCAGGCCGTGCGGGCCGTGCGGGGCGGCGCCCTGCGGGGCCCGGGCCCGCCCCCCGCCGCCCCGGCCGCCGCGCCTTCCCAGGTGAGCGCCCTGCTTCGGGGGCGAGGGGCGCGGGACGAAGGCCCTGTGTGTCCTCTCTCCGGTCCGGGCCGCCTGGACCCCGGCCCAGGCGCCCAGACTTTACCTGACTTCCGGGGCGGGGCCGCGCCTGCGCAGTGGGAGCTGCTGAGGCTGGGCCCCTGGGGCCAGGAGTCATTCATCCCCCCCCTGGCTCACCTTCCTCACAGCCCACTGGGAAGGCTCCTTTCGGCGGCAGCTGGGATCCCCTTTAACACCGCAGGTCTCTGCAGCCTGTGACTTTTCCCATTACATTTTTTAAATTTTCTAAATTTCACTGTTCCCCAAAGTGTGGTCCGCGCACCCCCAGGGGTACGGGGAGAGCTTGGCGGGGTATGCGTGGCACCGGAGTTTGGTGGGGAGATGCCCTGCACCGTGCTTAGCTGCGCCTCATTCTACGTTCTCATGAGTGCGAGGGGCACTCAGAGTTACGAAAATTATAGAAGGGGCGCACATATGTCAAAAGTTTGGGAAACACTGGATTAAGGTGTCACATATTTGTCCTCATCCCTCCATTCCCATCCCAAACCCCTCCCCACACGTGCCCCCGCCCCCTGTTGTCCATGGCCACTGGTTAGGCTCATATGCATGCACACAAGTCCTTTGGTTGATCTCTCCCCCTTATTCCCATCCTCCCCTACCTTCCCTCTGAGGTTTGAAAGTCTGATCGCTGCTTCTCTTTCTCTGGGTTTGTTCTTGTTCATCAGTCTATGTCGTTGGTCATTTCCACTAGATGCGTGAGATCATGTGAGATAGAAATACACTTATAGAACCGAGAATGAGACAAGCCATAATGGTTATGCTGAGAGGCAAATGAATCCGTCTGTAGTGAGTTCCTTTCTGGGCCAACAGTTCTTTTGAGTCCCAATTTCAATGTCCAACAGTTCCTTATGTGTAGATGTCAGCCATGGTATTTCAGATCTGGTTGGTGGACAAATGGTGGTGGTGCAGGTCGGACTCTGGTTTGGTCCTGGGCAGCCTGCAGTGACGCACAGCTGCTGACCGCTAGCATGACGAGGCGCCGTCAGCTACATTTTAAGGCCAGCTTTCAGCATGCAATCCCAGCTGCTGCTGGCCTACCATCGGCAGTGGTTAAGAGGATCACACCTAATTTATAATTCCAAAACAGCACATGCAACATTTAGCTCTGACCTTCCCGCTCGGTATTCTCATCTGATGAAGGGGCAGGGAAATCCTTAAGTGAAGGCCTTTCTTTTTAAAGCCATTTGTAGCGCAGCTTCTGGCCACCTGGCCTGGGCTGCTGTTGGTGAAATGGTCACTGGGTGAGTTTGGAACTTGTCCTGCAAAGCTCTGACCGAGCTATCTCCCTGGAGAAGCCCCTGGGTGTGCAGACATGGTGTTCACGGAGGCCTGCCCAGTTGTGCTGCCTTCAGTCTCCTGCAAAGCTTCCTGGCAGCCTGCGGTCCTGCAGGAAGTGCCTGCTCTGAACTTAGCATATGCCTTCAACCTGTAACAAATGAGGCTCTAAGGCCCAAAAAATATAGTTTTCAAACTGGGAAAAGTATATTTTCCTCCTCCTTCCAATTAATTGCCTCTGTATTTTATTTATTTTGACTGTATATGTCAATAAGTAGTCTGCATCTCATCTCTTATTGCTTCTTAAAACCTCTACCGGGTGTCCCATGGATGGATCTCGGATGGCCTCTTAAAATACTAAAATATTCTTATAAAAACTTACTCATTCAGCAAAATATTGACTATTGAAGGAACCAGGAGAACAAAACCAGCTCTTCCTTTTGTTGGGTGTATTATACACTTCCTCACCTTTTTAGATGGCTGCTGAGAATGGTTTTCCCTGATGCCTCAGGGTCATTGTTACCGTAGAATCCAGAGCAAGAGGTGGCTGGCAACAGTGAGGAAGGGAGGGATGTGATTCCCGTGGCCATTGTAGCTTTAATCATCTCGTTCTCTGTGGTTCAGAAAAGAAGATCCAATTCTCTTGGTTTTGAACTTCAACCCCCTCCTTACTTCCTATCCGTAGGTGCTTATTTGCTCAGGATTAGATTAGAGAACATCTAACACTGGTAGTTCAGTGCCCAGGAAAGGACACATCCCGGAAATTGTTACTTTTCCTCCCAGGTCAGGGCTTTGTCTTTGCTGTAATCCTGTGTGCCCTCAACTCCTGTGCAAAGCTTTTCGCCTCGGGGTTAAGTGCTTGAAGGTTCCTCCCATACAAAATGGCAGGCTGTGTTTTGATGATGGAGCCAAAGGCCTCTGTTCTGGGGCCTGGGCTCTTTGATGGTTTAAATTGGCATATATGTGACCTCGGGATAAGAAAAGCGTTGTATTAGGAAATGTCTTAAACGGCAGGAAAACCAGGAGGAGAAACGGTGAGAGTAAACATGGCATGCTTTTTTCCCTCTGGGGAGAGGGCTTAGCTGCACTGGAACCTGAAGCATTTCTCTGCGGAAGAGCCTTAATCTGCTCTGACAGATGCATCTTCTTTTCCCTGTGGCCAGGCAGGTGCGTGGTTATCAGCCCAGCGTGGCCTGTGCCGTCTCCCAGGACCCATGTGGCTTTGACAGTTTCCTGTTAGTAAGCCACTTGACTATGGGCAGGTGAATCCTTCTCAACCACACTTAATGAACGTCCTGACAGAGGAGATTCCCGGCTCTATTTCAGGGGGGGCCGGGAGGATGAAATGTTCACAAAGGATAGCGACCAGATTATAAGGGTCAACAGGAGAAAGTCAGGTATGTACCGGCTGTTGTGTACAGTTGCAGCAAAGACAGTAGGGTTGCGGAAAGTCATTTTTGGATTTGGGCAGCTGGAGCTCACACAGAGGGGACTCTCCAGTAGGACAGTAAAGATCTTGTAAGTCTTAGGTTTAATGCAAAAGCCCTGTGTGGATCCCACATGCAGCAGAATTTTCCCCCTAAGGTGGAGCTTCAAAAGCAGTTAATATAACACTGAGAGGCTAGATTATTATGATCTCTGAACAAATAATAACCTGGCCACTCAGTGTGTGTGTATATATAATATGTAATATGTAATGTGTAATATATCAGAGGCCCAGTGCATAAATTCGTGCTCTTTTTCCTTTGTGGGAGATGCTGTCAATACATTATTTTGTTTTTATCTAGCTGTGGGTAGTCCTCAGAATTTGGTCCTCTTATCCTTAAACCTCACTCCATTGCAGATAATTAGAACATAAGAGTCAGCGGTGTTACTAATTTTCTAAGTAGGTTAAACAGATGGCAGAGTGGAAGTTTTTGCCAAGAAATCTTGGGCTGGCAAAGCAGGATGGGGGTGGTGGGTGGGGAGACGGTGGGCCTGGGTTTTAAAGCCACACTCCGATTCAGGAGGAAGAGGAGGAGGGAGCAGAGTAACCCCCAGAATGTTCACTGGCCTCCAGGCATTGAGTGGGGCTCTCATCCCTCCTGTCCCCAAAGAGCTTATAGACAAGTTAGAGGCCTGGTGCACAGATTCCTGCAAGAACAGGCCTTCCTCCCCCTGGCTGCCGGCTCCAGCTTCCCTCCGGCACCCAGGACCTGGGCCTTCGCTCTGGCTGCTGCTGCCACCTACCGGGGGCGTGCTCTGAGCCACACCTCACAGCTGCTCATAGCACGCCCCACTCCTGGTGTGTGTGTGTGTGTGTGTGTGTGTGTGTCCGTGTGTGTCCGTGTGTGTCCATTGAGGTGGGGGCAGCACGCAGTCCCCTCCCACCTGTCTGCACACGCAGCTCCTCCTGAGTGGTCCTGATGCAGCCTCCTCCAGCTGGTGCCCAGAAATTCTGGCTTACCAGTGACAGTTTGTTCCACTGATGTTGAGAGCTATTGAGTGGGAACCAGGCAGGGCTTCTGCATTAGATGCTCGGCTAATTTGCATATTACCTGTATATAGGTATAGATATAGATATAGATAGATAGGTAGATATAGATTTAGATCTAGGTAGATAGATGTAGATAGATATAGATGTAGATAACTCTAGATACAGATATAGATACAGATTCAGACAGATATAGATATAAATATAGATATACTGTAGATAAATAGATATAGGTATAGGTATAGATATCAATATAGATAGATATAGATATAGATTTAGATATAGATATAGATTTAGATATAGATTTAGATATAGATTTAGATACATGGGAGAAAACCAAGTCACAGCATCCCTGAGAGCCGTGAACTCTGTGCTTGAGGCCCAGCCTCTGCCAGGGAGAAAGCCTCCCGGTCACTCTGCTTCCCGGGGAGTGGGGCCGGGAGAGGGTGTTCCAGCAGCAGGAGAATTACAGACTCTGCGTGTGAGCGAGGACAGGGCTATGTTAACCTTTCATCTGAATTTCTCATTGAGCATTAAAGCTCGTCCCAGCCAAGGTCACACAGCACCTGCAGCCGGAGCCTTTGCTGCCACCGGGGCACTGATCCTGTCGGGTCTGTGGGTTTCCAGACGCCTTCTCTCCCTGGAAGGGTCCCTCCACCTCCCCTCTGCCCGCCTCTGTGCCGAAGGTCACCGTCACCTCCATCCGGCCTGGACCTCTCTCCTCCATGTCTGTGGAGTCTTTCATCTCACGGCTGGCTCAGCGTTTCTTGTTTGGAGGGCTCACTGCGTGTTCTTTCTAATTATGGGGAGGAGGATAAAGCACCAGTAAAGGAAGTGAGACAAGACACTACACCTTGAAGTGTTTGGCTTTCACTTCCCTTTAAGGCTCTGTCAGCCAAGACAACACCTTTCCTGTTTGCCTGACAGCCATGCAGAGGGGTCAGTGGTCTCCTGCATGTAAGTCCACAGCCCTTGGTGCTCTGATGCCTCCCGCTACACAGCACAGGGCGTGTTTCCAGGGCACGCTCTGCGCTCTCCTGTTCGCTCCCAGCCCGGGAGCCGTCCAGTCCTGCGGGGCTGGCCCCTGCGGCTTCCTCTGTGTGAGGAGCCAGGCTTCCCGGGGCAGATCCACTCGCCAGGCTAAGGCTGCGGGCAGGTGGCAGTCGCTGGGAGAGTAGAGAGAGGTTTGCTGCAGGACTGCTTTGATGCCCGAGGGGGTAATCCTGGATTTTTTAAGCCACCCCTCAGCCTTGGTTAGAGAGGAGGTTTGGGCTGTGCTGGGGCATGGGGCCGATGGGCTCACTGTGGGTTCTGTCCCAGCCTGAGGCAGGGCCTCAGAGACTCCCTGGGGAGGTCCGGGAGAGGGGAAGTTTTTGCCAAGAAATCTTGGGCTGGCAGAGCAGGATGGGGGTGGTGGGTGGGGAGACGGTGGGCCTGGGTTTTAAAGCCACACTCCGATTCAGGAGGAAGAGGAGGAGGGAGCAGAGTAACCCCCAGAATGTTCACTGGCCTCCAGGAACATTCGGAGCCCGTGGTGAGACAGCCGCTGGTAACGGACGCTGGCAGGGGAGGAGGCTGTGGATGGAGCCGTGGGGAAGCAGGACTGCGAGCCATTAGCTCACAGGGAAGGCTTAAGATGCTAAAACACCTCATGCATTCGAGATCCTAAGAGGATAAAACCTCGCGATGTGGAGGCGAAGTTTACTCCTAACAGATCTTCCTCTGCTCTCCACATCATCCGCTTAAAGTGCCTGGCGCGTTGATAAGAACTTCCTGCCTGCCTGTTGGTTGTCATGGAAACCTACATCAGCACCCACCTGCACTGGGCTTGAGGCTGTGTGAGTGGCAGGGGGAGGCTTTTGTATGGAAGAAACCCACGGGGACTCTCCGTGCCTCTCAGTTCAGGGCTCTCCCAGGCTCCTTTACAAACACCAGGCAGGTGTGTCCCCTCCCTGGGGCCTCCGTCGTGCCGAGCCAGGGCTCCATCATCGATGGCAGGCCCCGAGTTCCTCCAGGATGACAGAGACCAGAGGCAGGCCTTCCGAGGCGGGGCGACCTGTGTGTCTATGGCCCAGGTGCCGGGATCCCCCACCGGCCCTGTGAGTGGTCTGTGCGGAACAAGAAGGCTGCCCCCTTTAGGCACCCCTGTGTGCTGTGCCTGGCTCACCATGCACCTGTGGCGGACCCCCCAGTTCTTATGGGAAGGAGGGGACTGACCCCGCTACCCTGACCTTCTGAACTGGGGGCAGTCTGAGAGCTCTGGCATTGACGAGGCCCCTGCAGCTGTGAATGGAGTAATGCAGCGGTCAGTAAGCTCCTTAGTCCACAGAGCCAAATATCAACAGCACAACGATTGAAATTTCTTTGGAGAGCCACATCTTTTAAACTTCTTCTAATGCCACTTCTTCAAAATACTCGCCCAGGCCGTGGTATTTTGTGGAAGAGCCACACTCAAGGGGCCAAAGAGCCACATGTGGCTTGCGATCCGAAGTTTGCCAACCAAGGGAGCAGTGGAACAGTTCTGTCTGTTCTTGTCTTGGTCGCCGGTGGGCACCCATAACAGTACTGTAGACTGGGAGGCCTAAGCTTATTTTCTCTCCATTCTGGAAGCTAGAAGTCCAAGGTCAAGGGTCGTCTGGCCTGTTTGGTTTCTGGTGAGAACTCGCTTCCTAGCGGGCAGAAACCTGCTCTCTCCTCACAAGGCCTGTCCCTCTGAGCTCCAGGAGGAGGGCCAGCACTCGGTGTCTCTTCTCAGGAGGACACTAACCCCCTTGGATCAGGGCCCCACCCTGTGGCCTCATCAAACCTTCATTGCCTCTGTAAGGCCCTGTTTCAAACCCAGGCTTAAGGGGGTTTCAAGATTTGAAGGGACAAAATTCAGTTCCTGGCATTTCTCAGTCTTTTTTCTTTTTTTAATACCTGTTACCCCTTCATCCCTGTGCACTTTGTTTTGCGTGGTGATGGGGGAAGGGTGGTGGTGTTCTTTTCCTTTGTTGTTGAGGTTGTTGAGGAGGAGGGAGGAGCAGGCCTCGGGTTGGAGTCCTCTCCTCTGGCTCTGCTCTCAGGTTCCCCACACCCACCAGATGTGAAAGCGGGAGCTCCCTGCTGCGGGCCCTGTAAACGCCCCGGACAGGGCGGCTCCAGGTGCCCCTCTCCCTTGGCTTCCCCTCCCGCCCTCACTGGGTCGGGAGCTCCTCGTCCTCTTACTCGCTGGCTTCCTCGTTCATCAGTGCGGCTCAGAGTGTCTTCCTCCTATTTTACCCGCCATTTTCAGCCGTCCCCATCTGAAGGTCCTTTCGGGAACCTCGGTTGCACGTCTGGCCATGGAATGCCGAGTCCTCGTTGGCGTTCAGACATTCACATCGTTTCTCTGTGTTTCCCTCACGCGTCCGCAGAGCCGCGTGGTCCTGGAAGAGACTCGCTGTGATTGTGCGCCGGTTCCTTTTCTGTTTTTCCAGCTCGGTCTTTTGGCCTCTCTGTTTTTTATTAAAAAGGACTGCCTAGTCATTTGACAAATTGTATGTGAACAGTTGATTACATGGGCTTGTTGGAGATAATTCTCATTGGGATGCGCCTGGGCAGGAAGCACCAGGAACACATGTAAGAATTAAATTATGCCCTGACCGGTATGGCTCAGTGGATAGAGCGTCGGCCTGCAGACTGAAGGGTCCCCGGTTCAATTCCAGTCAAGGGCATAGGCCTTGGTTGCGGGCACATCCCCAGTAGCGGGTGTGCAGGAGGCAACTGATGGATGTTTAAAAAGAATTAGATTTAATTTTGTTTACGTGTGTGTGTGTGTGTGTGTGTGTGTGTGTGTGTGTGTGTGTTCTGCTAGGCTGCCGCACAGAACAGGGACGGCGACCCCGGCGGGCTGCTGAGAGGACATGCGTACAGCGGCGTGGAGACTCTGGGGAAGGAGCTCTTTCTGTTCTTCGGGCCGAAAGCTCTGCGGTAAGAGGAACTGTGCTGTCCTCCGTCCCTCCATGTTCCCGGGCAGGGGAAGGCTCTCCGGGCGGGGCGGGGTCCCCGGGATCAGGGGGAGTGCTCCCTTAGAAGAGGGCGAGGCCCTCAGGGAAAGCAGGAAGCAGCAGCCGGGGAAGTGTGATGTCCTGGTTACGGGGAGGGCCGGGCTGTTTATTTCTTTTCTTAAAAAACTGATGGGCCCAGAGGACTTCCCAGGAGATGCTCGAGCAGCACAGCCCAGCATGTTCTTTTTTTTCTTTTTTCTTTTTTTTGAAATATATTTTATTGGTTTTATACAGAGAGGAAGGGAGAGAGATAGAGAGCTAGAAACATCGATGAGAGAGAGTCATTGACCAGCTGCCTCTTGCACACCCCCCACTGGGGATATGCCCGCAACTAAGGTACATGCCCTTGACTGGAATCGAACCCGGAACCTTTCAGTCCCCAAGCCGACGCTCTATCCACTGAGCCAAACCAGTCCCGGCCCAGCATGTTCTTAATTCAAACTCCCCTCTCTGTTCACCAAGTGTCTATTGCGTGAGCAACACCCGCCTCTCGAGGTTTATGACAGCCCCTCACGTGGATTAAACGGAGTGTGGGGTGGGATCCGTGGGGAGGATTGTGGGGTGTGGGGAGGAGTGTGGGGTGTGGGGAGGAGTGTGGGGTGGGATCCGTGGGGAGGAGTGTGGGGTGGGATCCGTGGGGAGGAGTGTGGGATGGGATCCGTGGGGAGGAGTGTGGGGTGGGATCCGTGGGGAGGAGTGTGGAGTGGGAATCGTGGGGAGGAGTGTGGCGGCGGCTGCCTCTCACTCCCTGCAGCTTTGATGACTGTTTGATCAAACAAACAGCTCAAGGTCAGCAGCAGACCAGGAGTTGGAATATCACTGAGCCCCTAACGCCCACGGCAGCCCGTGCACAGTGGAAGATGAAGAACTGCACGCCAGCCCACGCTCCTCGGGAGCACGGAGGACTCTGCCGCGGAAACGTGCTGTCGCGTGAGGCTGCAGGCGGGGACGGGAGCCAGACACGCAGGCTTCCCTTTTGCTTCCATCTGCCTCCCACTGGTGCCTGCAGCTCCGCGAGCCCAGGGCCAGAAGCGTGCTCAGTGCCCACGTACGGTGTCCCCCGAGGGCGCGAGCTTTGCACCATTAAAATCGCCGTGGATTGGAGGGCCTCGGACAGGGCAGCCCGTACATCTTCCTGGGGTTCATGGGCTGTGAATCTACATGAGAGGCAGGGCCCGCCGTGTGGGACGGTGCAGTGTGATAATGTGCGTGCTTCGGAGAGATACACATCAGAGGGGGACGTTTCTCTCACTGAGACCTGCACCGTGGAATGCTGGTTCTGCGGACTGTCCCGTGCCCTCCTGCGTTAGCTGTGCCGTTGCAGCATGTATGGCTGATTCCTGCGCCTTTGGACACTGCCAGGCGCTCTTCATCCATCCCAAACATCAGCGTTTGCAATGTGCTGTCATATGGGCAACAGATACTCAGGAGAGAAACTAAAGAGCCAGCACATTGGCACATCCACGGTCCCACTGCCAGGTGTGCTCTCTGTGACTGCTGCGTGCATCTGCTGCCAGTGAGGGGGTGCACACATCTGTCTGTCAGTCCTCCCACTCAGACGCACCCACCCGACAAGCTGCCCCTCGAGGGTGGCAATCAACGGGAACACAGCTGCCACCTCTTGCACCAGCGTTTCCAGGATATATATTTTTAATGGCGCTCTCTTTCCAGGTTGTGATGGATGTGACGGGTGGTTTGCCATTATCACGGCCACGCAGACACTCTACGTGAACATCTGAGGGGTCCTGCCACCGGGGAGCAGCTTTCTGCATTATCGATTTTGTAATTTATCGCCGTTTCAGCGATAACGGTCCTCCAGACGGAGAGGCAAAAGCGCGCCCCACAGTTCGCGGCGTGCTGAAAGGTTTTTATGGAACTCCTCGTGTGCCGCTTACAGCGTGACCATCTAGACAGTCTTTTCAGTCTGTTTTTGTCATCTGTAACATATCAGGCAAAAAAGAATGTGATAAAGATCCTAACTGAACCCTGTACTTCACATGCGTAAATACCCACTGTGGTCAGCCCAGCGTGCCCACTAAGTATCGGTGTTTCCACATGGTCTTAGGCGACCCTGCTAGCGGTTCTCACCCTCTGCAGGTCATGACACACAGACCCACAGGTTGAGAACCGCTGCTGTAGAGCCTGAGACGATCGGGAAACACAGATATTTACATTAGGATTCATGACAGTAGCAACATTACAGCTATGACGTAGCAACGAAAATAATGTTGTGGTTGGGGTCACCACCACATGAGGAGCCGTGTTAGAGGGTCGGGGCATTAGGAAGGTTGAGAACCACTGAACTAGAGGGGCCGTAATGTGCACATTATTTTTATATCAGAGCCTGGGTTGCCAGGGACAATGCCCAACTCAGACAAGTGCAGTAGTTAGGTGTTGTCAGAGTCTGGGTGTCATCTGATTTTTGAAGACGATGAGTCAGGCTTCAGGGAGAACTGGGAGCAGAGACTAAATGCAGAGAAGACTCCACAGCTCGTGGCTGGTCCTCCCCGACACCGCGGGTTCCTCTCTGCAGCCAGGCCTCCCGTGGCGCCTGTCTGTCCACGACGGGAAACATTTCCACCCACAGCACACGTCTCTCAAAACTAAAAAGAAGCGGATCTCTCTGTGTCCCAAACCCATCAGTTCATCAGGCGGACTCTGATGGGCCCGGCTCAAGTACTGGTGGGACCAGTGGACACAGCTATTCCTTCCTGGGCCAGCTGTGTCTACAGAGGGGAAGGAAGCCACTCCAGGCTGGGCCCAGGGCCCCTGTGGCCAGGCACAGTGAGTGATCTCAGGGAGCCAGCTGGGCTGGGGGTGGAGGGCGCTTGAGAGCATCAACAGATAGAAATAAGGTTCCAATACAATTGCCCTAAACTAAGATTTTACAATGAGAAAACTTTAAAAAAATATATTGTATTGGTTTTTTACAGAGAGGAAGAGAGAGGGATAGAGTTAGAAACATCGATGAGGGAGAATCATTGATCAACTGCCTCTTGCAGATCCTCTACTGGGGATGTGCCCGCAACCAAGGTACATGCCTTGACCGGAATCGAACCTGGGACCTTTCAGTCCGCAGGCTGATGCTCTGTCCACAGGCTGATGCTCTGTGCCAAACCGGTTTCGGCACAATGAGAAATCTTTTATTTACACATATGAAGAGGTTTGTGCCGTAGGCCTTCCTTCCCCTGGCTGCCAGCACCGGTTTTCCTCTGGCACTGGGGGCCCAGGCCTTCGCTCTGTGCAGCCTTCAGTCTTTGCCACTCCTGTAGCTCCCCCAGCCCCCTGCCCTACCTCTCCTAGCAGGCTTCCTGCCCCACCGGCCACTCCATGCCTGCATTCATGTGCCCACAGGCCTGGAGCGGCTGGGGGGCGGCGCCACCACATCTTAATTTGCATACTCACTCCTGATTGGCTGGTGGGCGTAGTGAAGTGATGGTCCACTTGAATGGTTCTTTTTTATTAGTGTAGATATTTTTTATTGATTTCAGAGAGGAAGGGAGAGGGAGAGAGAGATAGAAATATCAGTGATGAGAGAGAATCATTAACCAGCTGCCTCCTGCACACCCCATACTGGGGATCGAGCCTGCAACCCAGACATGTGCACTTGGCCAGAATCAAACCCGGGACCCTTCAGTCTGCAGGTTGACGCTCTATCCACTGAGCCACAACAGCGAGGGCACAATGAAAAATCTTGAAAAGCAAATCTAACGCTTGAATGGAAATGTGATATGAGGCTGTGCCCTGGTCTATGAAAAATCAGTAAGTGTGGCCATTGTGACAACAGTCTAGGTGCTTATTGCGTGCCTGGAATGTTTTCATGGCACAGATTTTTCTGAGTCTACGTTAAAAGGTACTGAACAATAAACACAAAATCCGTTGGTGTATCGGGGCTCAGCTATCACAAAATTTAGCTATTTAATAAAAAGAAGATTAAAAAAAATAGTTATCCTAGGCATAGTTCTCCTGAACTGAATAGATTGCCTTCGAAGACCAAAAATGGCACGGCTCTCGGATTCAGGTCCTCCTTGGGGCCACGCCAGCGTTTGAACGGTGTCTTCACCTTTGCGATTGTTTTCTGTGGCTGCAGCTTCATTACGAAGAGTGATTTAGAACCTGCTTTACGAGCCAGGCCGCCGAGGGGATCTGAGGCGCGAGGGCTCTCAGGCACGACGGTGCCCACCTGTGGCCGGGTCGAGCCCCATAAAGTAAATCAGGGAGTGCTTACGGCCTCCATTCCTCCTGTCAGGAGCCACGGGCATGGGAAAGGCACTCCTGATGGATGGCAGGGCACACAGTTTAAAGCCCGTGCTTCACGTGAGGGGTTCACCTTGCCCGGCCTGTGGCACAGAGCTGCGGGGTTAGGGCCCAGAGCTGCGGAATCAGAGGCACCGAGTGGTACCATTCGCTGCCAGAGGAGCTGTAGTTATAACTCACGGAGCCATCAGGAGAAGGATGTGGAGGCAGCATGCCGTATTTCATCCTGAGAATGCTGTTTGATCTTCCTCATCAGAGGTCTCACAAAGCCACTTGCCTTTTTTTTTTTTACGGGACATGCTAATCAATCCAATAATAACTGAAAGGTCTTGAATTTTTTATCACCCCGTTGTGGCTTTCAAGTTAACCGTAAATATTTATATATCCCCTCTTCCCCATACATGGGAAGGTAGGAGAATGGAAGATAGCATCGTTTTAATCTGTCTCTTTTTTTAATGCTTAACGTTTTACAGAGCATCATTTCATTGTATATCGCCAACTAGGGGGAGGGGGGGGCGCGCAGGGGAGACAAACAAACAAACAAACAAAACGTGTCTCAAACTGTAGATACCTTTTTGGAGTGGGAAAACATTTCCAAGCCACTGTGGCTGGAAATAAGGACTTTGAGTGCTAGTGGGTTTGCAGAATTTATAAAAAACACAAACTGGAGGCAATTTAAATGTAGCCTCATCTCATCCCCAACCTTTGAATCTGAGCAAAAGCTGAGAGATGCTAGACTCTCCCGTGAATAAAAAACGCTTCGATCTCTAGATGGTGGAACCGGGGAGGTTTTCTTGTGCTTATTTTCAGGGTCTTATTCTTTCTCTCATAATGTATTTTATTTTTGGATTGGAAAACGGATCATCACATCTTCTAGTGTTTATGGAGGGACAAAGCAGGAACAGGAGATGGTGGCCCTTTCAGAGTGCCGTCCTGACTGACATTGTTTGCTTAGAAGCCAGACAGTGAGGAGAAGGAACACACATGGGACACAGGATATACGTCCTGCCGCTCATAAATGCGTTTGCTTTCGTTTCAGGATCCATTTTGGAATGAAAGGCTACGTCAGGATCAACCCACCTGAGTGTGAAAGTAAAAATGGAGTTTCTCCGGTGCTGGAAGTACAGCTCAGCGAGGATCGGATTTGCTTCTTTGACTCGTCCGTAGAACTCAGGTGAAAAGTAAAATAAAAAGTCCTCCAGCTACAAAACTCTAAAGGTTGGGTCTACAGTTGGTTACATGTGGAAGTAAATAAATTTTCCAAAATGTCTTATAATTGATAAAACCTCATTTTATTTTAATATATTTTTTATTGATTTCAGAGAGGAATGGAGGGGGAGTGAGGGGTAGAAACACCAATGATGAGAGAGAATCCTGAATCTGCTGCCTCCTACATACCCCCTCCTGGGGATGGAGCCCACAACCTGGGCCTGTGCCCTGACCGGGAATCGAACCGTGACCTCCTGGCTCATAGTTTGACACTCAACCACTGAGCCATGCCAGCCGGGCAATTCCTCATTTTCAAAGAGACTTCAAATACTGTAGTTTGTCAGGATCCTCACCGGGTGGCTGTGTAACTCTTACATCCCGATTAACATGAAGTGTCATTCCTATCCACGCTCATGTTCAGAGAGCCTTTGTGACGTCACCAGACCGACAATGAACGTGTCTCCCATCCCTCCCCACAGAGACTCAGCGGAGAGCCAGCGGAGGGTCAGGATGATGGGGGAGTTAGACGTGTGCTCGCCCAAGTTTAACTTCCCGCGAGCCGAGAGGGAAGTGCGGAAGCAGCGGGGACGGATGCTCTGTGACGTGGTCATGGACCAGCGGGTGCTGCCTGGGGTTGGCAACATCATCAGGAACGAAGCTCTCTGCGACAGCGGCCTCCACCCCGCACTCAGGGTAGGTGACGCGGGCTTGGGAATGCTGTCTGTGTGTTTAAACTCGGTGAGGGACCAGCCCGGGACACTCCCATGGGTGGTGGTGACCTTCTCCCCAAGCAGATCGCATGTCAGCCTCTCAACGGAGCCAGCCCTGACCACACTATTTACAATTGCTGTTGTGCTCAGCTGGTGTTTCTCAGTGGACAGAGCGTCTGCCTGTGAACCCAAGGGTCCCGGGTTCGATTCCAGTCAAGGGCATGTACCACGGAGGCAATCCATTGATATTTCTCTCTGTGTTCCCTCTCTCTTTCACTCTCTCTAAAAAAAAAAAAAAAAAAAAAAAGGAAAAATATCGGATGAGAATATAAAAGAAAAATTATATAATACAATCTCTGTTGCATCCCCTCCTCCCAATTCATACTTCCAGCTTTCCCTAAACTTGCTCTGCTTTTTATTTTCTTCATGCCGTATTGATCATATTCAAACATCATCTGATCTTTGCTTGTTATATTTACTGTTTGACATCTCTCTGCTAGAATGCAGACTCTTGGGTGGAAGGTGTGTCTGTTCATGGTGTAGCCACGCGTGCAGAATACACCGTCTGGCACAGGGTTGGCATTAAAGAAAGATGTGTTGGCTGTATGAGTGAACTCTGCACACAACTTTCTTTTTGTATCTGGAAAATTAAATTCACACTCAACACATGCTCATGTTTCCTTTAAAAAAATATTTTTATTGATCTCAGGAAGGAGGAGGGAGAGAGAGAGAAACATCAGTGGTGAGAATCATGGATCAGCTGCCTTCTGCACGCCCTCTACTGGGGATCGAGCCCCCAACCCACGCATGCGCCCTGATGGTGAATCAAACGGTGACGTCCTGGTTCATAGGTGACACCCAACCACTGGGCCACACCAGCCAGGCTCGTGTCTCCTTCTTATTAGGAAAGGCCGTTTTAATGGAATGATGAGAATGGAAGTCAAGTAGCAGGGACTAAAGAGTGAGTGACTGGTGAAAACCCCCGAAAGTGGCCGTGCTTGTTAAAACAGCTGGAGTAAAGGGAACATGCTAGAATAAGGGAAGATGTCAGGACAGGGACTGGTTTGATTGTTGTTTTCTGGTTTTTCAACTGGAGAGATGTGAACTTATTCTTATGTTGAGAGAGAAATCCTGGTCGGGTGGGAGAGGTTAAAGTGTAGAAAAGAGAAGGGTGTTTAGCAGGACAAAGTTGTGAGACAGTCGGAGAGGTTAGAACCTAAGCCGGGTGGGGGATACATATATTTTAGTTTCCAAGGAAGAAATCTCCGGTAGGACTTTTAGCCAGGACTTACATGGTCCCTATTACTAAGTCTTTTTTTTTTTTTTTTTTTTTGTGTGTGTGTGTGTGTGTGTGAGTGTGTAATTATTTTCTGGACAGTCTTCATGAAATCCAAATCAGTAGGAAATAAATTTTAGAAGAAACCAGTTAATGATAGTTCTAGGTGAGATTCAGCCTTTATTTATTTATTTATTTAATCCTCACACGAGGACATTTTCATTCGTTTTTAGAGGGGAAGGGAGAGAAATAGAAAGAAAGGAACATCGATCAGTTGCCTCGTGCACATGTGTGGACAAGTACAGGGAATCAAACCAAAACCTAAGCTTGTGCCCTGACCGGGAACCAAACCCTCAACCTTTCAGAGTATGGATGATGCGCCAACCAACTGAACCACACCAGCCAGGTGGTTTTGCTTTTTGATACTTGAAACAAACTGCCTAATGTCTGTAATGTGGGAACAAGGAAACAATTTAACAACAGGCTTTTTACAATCACCTAGACCAGTAGTCGGCAAACTCATTAGTCAGCAGAGCCAAATATCTACAGTACAACGATTGAAATTGCTTTTGAGAACTGAAAACCGATTTCTGCGCATGGGCCACGAAGTTTCAGTCGCACTGTGTGTGCGCCCACATGTGGTGTTTTGTGGAAGAGCCACACTCAAGGGGCCAAAGAGCCACACTCAAGGGGCTCAAGAGCCGCAGTTTGCTGACCACTGACCTAGATCTCTATGGAAAATGTTTCTGAAAAAACAAAACAAAACAAAACAAAAACAAAAAACACAGAGTATTGCTACCTAGACTATCTTATTATTGATGATAAATTGATTATTTACTTTTTTATCTGTACATCCAAGCCAGCCATTCATCTAGTAAAAGGTCATTTGCCCATAATGTTTGAGGGCTTAAAAATTAATGACATTTCTGGAGCTTAGCTATTAGCCTTGAAAAAGCAGTTCAACATTTCAAGCTGTAACCGGATATAGTAGTACATAAGCTACGGTCAGAAAAAGATGAGCTTCAGAAGTGCCTACGTTTTAAACGTGAAGTAGATAATTGGAAAAGTATATGATGCTTTTAGAATGATTTTGTTGATTAGAGGGCTTTAGATTTTGCAGTCATCGGTACATGAGTTTCTACCATGTATAGGCATCGGTGCACTCATACACGTGGCATCAGGCAGCTTTTCTTCTGAAATTACCATGGCAGGCACACGTGCCATGTGATGGTTAATCCTGCGAGGGTGATGGGTGTATGCCAGGCCATGTCACAGGAGTTCTGTAGGGAGGTCTGTGCCTGAGTCTTCCATGTGCTAACAAGTCCTTTGATCTTAATGCATGCATATAAATTCATACCTTCTGAAAGCTGGTAGTGACCTTGATGGTCAACTACTTCTGTGCCTTTCTTCTCCTCCTCCTCCTCTTCCTCCTCCTCCTCCTCTTCCTCCTCCTCCTCCTCCTCTTCCTCCTCTTCCTCCTCCTCCTCCTCTTCTCTCTCTCTCTTTTTGCAAACCCAGCAAGAACGGCTGGCAGGGCTCAGTGGTTGAGCATATGAACCAGGAGGTCACGGTTCTATTCCTGGTCAGGGCACATGCCCAGGTTGAGGACTCGATCCCCAGTGTTGGAGTGCACAGGAGGCAGCCAATCAGTGGTTCTCTCTCATCATCGGTGCTTCTCTCTATCTCTCCCTCTCCCTTTCTCTGTGAAATCAATAAAAATATATATTTTTTAAATTAAAAAACAAAACTAAAACTACTGTTAATGACAATAAATAGTAGCTGTATGAGACAGAGTTCCAGAAGATGGCGATGTGTTTTAAATCTAGTTCTCTAGAACTGGTGAGGCATATCATTTTTTTTATCATGCACAAACTATGAAACTGCCCTCGGTCGTTTTTCTGTTTTCAGGTTTGTCAGTTAACAGAAGAACAGATCCAACGCCTAGTGAAAATGATACGTGACTTCAGCCTTCTTTTCTACAGGGTAAGACCAAGTGTTTTTTAATTATGGAAAATTGAAATTTCCCTTTCCATTCTACCAGTCATGGTAAGGCAGTGTATAGCCACCTCGTGGTCAGATTGTGGAAGTACAGTAACAGAGTGTGTCCTGTTAGGGGTCTAATTAACATCTTAAAATTTTCGGTCACAGGCCAGTCCGCACTTATCCAACTATAATTATGTTAAAGTATCTTTATGCTACGTTGGGGAACTACTGTGTTAGCATTCAACTTGCACTCTTGTTCTGTTCTGGGTATCTAAAAGTAAAAGAGAGGAGGCCTGGAGAGGATTAATTTCTTCAAATGGCCCTCATTTCAGTCAGGTTTCTCCACTACTGTCTGTGTGGTTGAGATTATTTAGATAACTTTACGTTTAGCTTTCTGTTTGTAAAATGGGACCATCGGAATCTGCCACCAAGACTGTTTTGAGAATGAAATAAATACCTGCTAAACTATAACTTTGTGAGTTATAGTTATGCGTATATATACATATGTACATACATATATAGAGAGTTCAATAAACACATTTTATCATTTAAGCAAAGCATCACAAATATTTTTCCTCCACGGTCCATTGTCTGTATCCCAAATTTCTACTTTTTCTATGTTCAGAAAGGCTGGTGTTGTGGAACTCTTCATTAATTGCCTAACATATTAATGAACTTCTTGCTTTACATATCTGCCTTGAGTATCTATGGTTGTTTTCATCGATATATATAAAGCCTCAGTGTCGGTTACCACTGAACAACTGGAACGACCAGTCAACCAGTCGCTATGACGCACACTGACCACCAGAGGCAGGCGTTCAATGCAGGAGCTGCCCCATGGGGTTCAGTACACCCCCACAGCCAACCTCCACAGCCAGCCAACCTCCTGCGGTCCCTGCCCCCTTCTCTCCCCATGTCCCTCTGGCTCTGTCTGGCAGCCAGCAGGTCCTGGCCAGCCTGACCCTGACAGGGACTGGGCCAGATGGCCCCAATGAGCCCTGATCACCAGCCATGCCTAGGGATCCTACCCATGCATGGATTTCGTGCACTGAGCCTCTAGTATTTTGCATTCTCACTTATTCTTCTAAGGGAATCCTATATAATAAAAACCTAATATGCAAATTGTCCCCTCGGACGGTCGAACGAGGAGATCAGGAGTTCGACTGCTCACTATGACATATGCTGACTACCAGGGCGTGGCACTGAACATGGTAGTGCTGGCATTGGGTGGCAGTGGAGGTGCTGCCAGCCCCAATGGGCCCCAACAACAGCAAGACCATGGTGGGATGGTGGAGCAGGTGAGGGGCAGTGCCAGGCCAAGGCAGGATGCCAGGGGGTGCTGCGGGCTTGAGAGGCTGGGGGCACGAGCTGGGGTCCGATCTCTGAAGGACATCTGAGGAACCCCTCCACATGCACGAATTCATGCACCGGGCCTCTAGTATAATTGTAGACAACTACTCACTTCCTACTCCTATTAAGTTGGGTATTTCAATACTTTGCTTAAATTAATGGGATGTGTGTATATAATTTTCAGCTTATTTATGGTGAGCCATATTTCTGGGCTTTTGAAATTTCACACTGCTGATGTAAACCCAAAATATTCTTCCTATGGGAGCCTTAGATTCACATGAACAGAACAAAACTGACGGAGAATCTCCAATGTCTTTTGAAATAGACCTTAGACCAAAATGGAGCCTGTTCTCTGCTAGGTTGGCGTTTGAATTTTTATTTTCCCTTTAAGCGAATCGAGGATTAAAAACTGAAAACTCTCCTTTGTCAGATCAACAAAGAAGATGGTCTCGGTAAATTCTCAGGTGGCTGTTGAAACAAAGTGGACAGCTTCCGAGTTCCCAAGATAATCGGATTTAGCGCTAATCTACTCTTTTTCTTTTAACTACATAATTACGTTTAATTTTTTAAAACCTTAACAGCATGGAAGACATTTTGAATTATGGAACTCTTATATCCCATTTAGATAAGAGGGTAAAGCTTTTCAGAGAATAATTTTGAATACTAATAAGTAATAAAATAATTACTTAATTATGTCACAGGAAATCTTATTTAACAAATATTGCTGAATCTTGTCAGTATCTTTTTTTCTCAGATGAAAGAAAAGATTATCCCGACAACTAGTATATACAAACATACATTTTTTTAAAAAAATTACTTTCAGTCCTAACCAGTTTGGCTAAGTGGATAGAGCGTCAGCCTGCTAACTGAAAACTCCCAGGTTCAATTCCAGTCAAGGTCATGTACCTTGGTTGCAGGCACATTCCCAGTGGGGGTTGTGCTGGAGGCAGCTGATCGATGTTTCTCTCTCATCGATGTTTCTGACTCTCTATCCCTCTCCCTTCCTCTCTGTAAAAAATCAATAAATGTATTTTTTAAAAAACTATTTTCAGAAATGGCTTTCCAGAACTTGTCTTTGGCTCCTTAGCAACAGTTCTGTGGATAGCGTTATAACGTTGTTCCTTTGGTTTCAGTGCCGTAAGGCAGGACTGGCCGTCTCCAAACACTATAAGGTCTACGGGCGTCCTCACTGTGGCCGCTGCCGCAGCAGAATAACCGTGTGTCGCTTGGGAGAGAACAGCAGGATGACGTACTTCTGTCCGCACTGCCAGCCAGAAGATGCTCACCGTGCCGACGGAGGGTGAGGCGTCTGGTCGGGGTAGCAGTGGCCCCACTTTCATGAAAGGCCATTCATCAGGGAACCACAATGCAATAGCTATCGGGCCGTTAATATGAAGACCTAACGAACAAGTGTTTGAACCTTGGAAGAAGGAAATATAGCCCGGCCAGCCTGGCTCAGTGGTTCAGCTCCAACCTATGAACCAGGAGGTCAGAGTTTAATTCCCGGTCAGGGCACCATCCCCAGTGGGGGGGCAGGCAAGCGGCAGCTGATCAATGATTCTCTCTCATCATTAATGTTTCTATCTTTTTCTCCCTCTCCCTTCCTCTCTGAAATCAATAAAAATATATTTTTAAAAATTTTTTAAATAGTAAATAACATCATCAAGAACCAGGAGGAGCCGCAGGTGACTTTTGGACCACTTCTGGTTCTGGAAAGCCCCCAGCTCAGGTGTTTGCAGCATGCTTAAGAGGACTTGTAGATATGTCAGGAACTGGAAAGACAATCTTCAAATGTCTGACTTTACTTATAAACTAGTGGCCCTGCGCATGAATCTGTGTGCGAGTAGCTCGCTGGCCGCCCTGCCCACCTCCCCTGTAGCTCTCCACCACTCATAGCTCACTGCCCGCCCTCCTGTAGCTCTCCCCTGCTTGTCACTCACTGACCCGCCCTCCTGGTGATTGGTCATTACGTATCTCAGCATAACGACCATTTGCATATTACCTCTTTGTTATATAGGATAACATAAAACACGAATGAGATCTCTTTACAAAATGTATGTCTTATTGGTGGAACAGCTGACTGGTGATTCTGCTGGTAGCCGAGTCTGTCTGTTGCAATGATGCTTTTGAGAACAGGGGAGGTAACCACAGGTGGGGACCAGGGACAGACTGGGCCCACTGCGGGATGACCTTGAACTAAAAACGCCATTGGTCACCTGACCTCCCTAGCCCCTCCTCTGACAGGTGGACCACAGTGAGATAACAGGAGGATGGAGATTCTTGTCATTATAGACCAGCCCAGTGGCACAGGGCTTAGTAGCTTGCATGGAGCATTCCAGAGGCACCTGAAGAAAGTGTAAAACTTGATTTCACCTTTTTTCTTTTTTTTTTTTTTCAATATATATTTTATTGATTTCAGAAAGGAAGGGAGAGGGAGAGAGACAGAAACATCAAAGATGAGTGAGAATCACTGATGGGCTGCATCCTACATGCCCCATACTGGGGATTGAGCCCACAACCCAGGCATGTGCTCTTGACTGGAATCGAACCTGAGACCCTTCAATTCACAGGCCGACACTCTATCCACTGAGCCAAATGACTAGAGCAAATTTTATTTCACTTTCAGTGTCCTAATGTCCACGTGACACTTCCTCTCCCCTGACTTGTCTGAAGAAAGATATTTCGGTTTTGCTTTGGGAAGAGAACTACTTAGTTAAAACGTTATTGGAGAAATGCTGCCTGGGGGTATGTCAAATATTTTTAGTCGGTATGAAAGAACAGTAACAAAGCCACAGCTCCTTGATGGTGAACAAGATCTTTTATTCGGTATTTCTGTCTTGAACAGCAGTCACAGGGCCAGGGAAGACATTTCATTACGGTCTCGGTAAGAATATCTTTGCAGGTGGACAGAACAGAGCTGCATTTTCCCTCTCTTCTTTGGGCTGCCGCCCCTTTTCATTAAAGCCTCTTCCCAGACAATTGTGCTGTGGCATTTGGGTGCATTAATGGTTCTGTAATAGTTCCCCAATATTCCGGATATATGAGAACGAGGCAGCAATGACACAGCATTGATGGTCAACTGTAAAAATTCTCCGCAGCCAGCTGCCAACGAGAAACACGGCCGTCGGCCCGACGCCCCATGGGGACCGTCTTGGGGACCACGTGGCCAGGAGGTGGGAAGAGGCCTGGGCGTGCGGGGCCTGCACCCTGATCAACATGCCTTCTGCCCAGGCCTGTGATGCCTGCCTCGCGCCCAGGCCTGCTGGTAAGCCTGAACGTGGACTTGGAGTGTGTTCCCGGCCTTTAATCACACCGGGTTGGGGGTGTACCTCATTCCAGCTTAATGGTCTGCAAACCCAGCTCGCGAGCCACAGGCGGCTCTTTGGCCCCTTGAGTGCGGCTCTCCCACAAAATACCACGGCCTGGGCAAGTCTATGTTGAAGAAGTGGCATTAGAAGAAGTTTAAGTTTAAAAAATGTGGCGCTCTGAAGAAATGTCCATCGTTGTCCTGTGGATATTTGGCTCTGTTGGCTAAGGAGTTTGCCCACCACTGGTCTAGCTGGATGTCTCTTAACCAGGGCGACATTCCGCTGCCTGTACCCCAGGCTGACGTTCTGGGGGGCGGGAGGGAAAACAAAAATCTCTCTCTCTCTCGCTCGCTCGCTCGCTCGCTTGCTAGAAAAGTGTGTGTCTCTGTGTCTCAGAGAACTGACAGGATCCATCTGCGCTCTGGGTGCTGATGAATTATTCAGGAAGGCTCTGTTTTACGCAGATTTCAGCAGCTTCACAGCCTGTCACTCAGTCCCAAGGTTTCCTCAATGGCGGGGACGGTCTCGGTAAGAATATCTTTGCAGGTGGACAGAACAGCGCTGCATTTTCCCTCTCTTCTTTGGGCTGCCGCCCCTTTTCATTAAAGCCTCTTCCCAGACAATTGTGCTGATTCCATTGAAACCCGCAGAACGACTCTGTGGTCCACAATCTGGAGAATGCGGAACCGCGAGGAAACCTGTGATTAAGATCCTTCGCGTGGACACGGCCTCTGGCCCCTATTGTCTCCTCAGCGTGTTCTTTCTTCCTTCAATTAGAGATGAGAAAGTTCCTTCTTGACTTAGAGACCCCGTGCGGTGTTCGCTGTCGGATGGCGCTTTGTCCCCTTTGTTCTCTGGGCCGGAAAGAAGGGCCACGCCACCCCTGACACAGAGCAGATGGGACAAAGGGACCCATCTCTCCTGTGTCTGCCTCTCCCTCCGTGTCTGCCTCTCCCTCCCATGTCTGCCTCGTCTCGCTGTTTTCCTGTTTGTTTGTATTCTGAGTCTGATAGACAGTTGCCTTAACTACAATCCAGAAAATACCTTACAGTACAAATTCCAAAATCTGAGGATGTTTTGTGGAAACATTTGGAATAGACGTTAAATCCCTGTAATTCATCTTATTTTTAACCAGAGGCCCATTGCGTGAAGATTCGTACAAGAATAGGCTTTCCTTCCCCTGGCTGTGCTCCCGGCCGCCCGGGAGCCTGCAAATCCTCACTTCCCGCTGGAGCACCGCTCCTGCAGCTCCCTCTGCCCCCCGCCCTCCCCATCATAGCAGGCCTCCTGCCCCCCCCAGCCAACCCACACCTCCATATGCAAATTAAACCTCCATCGTTGTTGGGTTAATTTGCATACTCACTCCTGATTGGCTGTGGGTGTAGCAGAGGTAAGGTCAATTCAAATGTTTGTCTATTATTAGGTAAGATGAACCATCTGCTTTGTGTCTTGTCATTCCCCAAAACGGTCCTGACCACCCCTAACCCTCCCACCCCAGACACAGCATCTAGCTGCTGGCTCTGAAGCTTTTAGACACATCACCTCCCAGTTACCACTGCTGTATCCCTGCCTGATGGTAACCAACGTGAGAGCTGAGGAACCTTCAGAGCAGGGGTGGTGAATGTCTGGCCCGTGGACCACATTAGGCCTGTGAAATCACTTGGTCTGGCCCTGCCACGGGATTGGGGGCGAGTTAATGAAATGTTTGGCCAAATAGAACAGGCTGGTTTTTTAAGCGGATCGTTTTGTGTGGCCCGAAAATGATGTTACAAATATCCAAATGGTCCTTGGCATCTACCCATGCCTCACTGCAATAGGAAGCAAGTGAAAGTGTGAAACCCAGCTCGGGTCCCTCGGAGTTGTTAAAACTTTGTTGCACGTTATGCTTCCTTGCCTAAAAGGAGGTTAATGGTGACTTGCCCAAGCTCACTTTGTGTTATTCACCATATTAGTTCACCGTAACACGTGAACTAAAAGTTTTCATCCAATACAACCACGTTTCCGATACTCGGTATTCCATCTGTGGGCACTCTGCAGAGGTCCTCCTCTCCTTCCAGGGTCCAGGCTGGAGAGCAAGGACAGCCCCGCTGCCCTGAGCGACGTTGTGAGGTACCCCTGCAGCAGCTTCGGGAAGCCCAGCTCGGAGGTGAGGATCAACAGGAAGACGGCCTTTGGCACCACAACCCTGATCCTGACGGATCTCAGCCAGAAACCCAGGCCTCCGGGAAGAGAGAGAAGCCCAGACAGGCTGCTCGGTGGGGAGCTGCAAAGCCCTCTTTCCACTAACGTTCCTCTCCGGGACACGCCTCGCCCCTCCGAGGAGACAGCCGACAGCATGGCTCAACCACCCAGCACGGCCAGCCCGCTGGCATTCCCCGCCATCTCTGCCTTACACAGACCCGCCTGCAAAAGACTGAAAACCGCCCACGGCTCCTCGCCAGCCTCCGGGAGTCGCCACCCTGCACTTTCTAATGGGCACGATGCTTCCACCTTGGTCTCGGAGGCATTGGCATTAAGGTTTTTTCATTTATTTTTTGTTTGTTTGTTTGTTTGTTTTTAAGTGATCACAGGCACTTGGTTTAATAGCAGTTTTCCAAACTGAGTCCCTGCGATGGGTTTTGACCTAGGGCTAGGTTTGCCACTGCTATAGATGCAGATAAAGCCCCTTGAATTGCATTTTATACCTAACATTTTCGCATTTTAAAAATCCACTTTCTAATAGGCCACTGGATAAAGCAGTTTGTCAGATTCCTCTTTTGGAAATATCTGCCTTTCCTTCCTTCCTTCCTTCCTTCCTTCCTTCCTTCCTTCCTTCCTTCCTTCCTTCCTTCTTTCCTTCCTTCCTTCCTTCCTTCCTACATAATTACAACCTTTTGCTTCTCACTTTTGTATCAGTGTGCTCAAAGTCCCCTCCAGGAGGGAGCTGAGGGCTGCGGTCCTGTGAGTGGCACCCTGAGGGCTCGGCAGTCACTTCCTCCTCCTCCAGTTCACAGTGTGAGAGGGGACGGGGTGGGAACCAGAATCCCCACCTCGGTGACAAGTGACTCTTCTCTGCCTGTAGCCCTGTGTGTGCTCAGTCAGCCCCTTTGGAAAGTCCATAAAGAAAGACATTTAAAGCACGCCGCTCTTACCGGTTCTCAGTCACACTGTTAGCATTCTCATCTTATTTCCTTCCAACGGGAGATCGCTTTTCCAGAAGGGGGGCGGCCGTTTGCAGATCAGTAAGTGTCTTCTGTGCTAAAGAGCGAGCTGAGATGTTTTCAGTGGCGTTTCTGGGGGGACAGGGGCTGGGTGTCGGACAGCCCAGCGGGAGGGTGTTGTTTCCACCACAAAGGCCCACAGAGCAGCGTGTCCGCAGTGAGAGGGCTGGGCCCCTAGTCGGTATGTACCGCCCGCCCTAGCTCCCTCACACGGCTGCCAGGGCCTCCGGGGGAGGGCCCCGTTGATGTCGCTGAGACACAGAAGGTTAATGACACTGTCACCTCTTGTTCTTCAGTGATTACTGGAGCGGCTGGCGCTGTCTGTCCACACTCCTTCCCTCCTGGTACAGTCCTTTCTCTGGCATCCCAGCTGACCCAGCCTGACGCGGCCTCCATCAGAGGGCCACCTCCACAAGGTTCTTCCCCGAGCTGTTTGCTGGGAGGTTTCCCTTCAGCAAGGAAATGCTGTATACTCAGCATTTTAAAAATTGCTGACAGTATTACAGTCCCCTGCCCTATTTCGCCTCCCTCCACCTAGCTCTCGCCCCACCCCAGGCCTTCACCCTGCTATTGTCTGTGTCCATGGGCTATGCATATACGCATGTGTGTTCTTGGGCTAACCTCCAGTTCTCTCCACCCGTCCCCTCTGAGATCGGTCAGTCTGTTCCCTGCGTCTGTGCCTCTGGTCCTGTTTGTGTGTCAGTTTATTTTGTAAAATGAAGTGAAGGCCAAGAGTTGTCTTCCCACACGTCCCATCTCGCCCTCGGGGCGGAGCAGGGAGAGTTAGCGTGGGGTGGGCGGGCTCTCAGTAACCTCAGAGGGGTCTGGCTGCTCAGTCTCTGGTGAGCTCCATCTGGGCTGGTGCACAGTCTTCCTCTGGGCAGTGAGATGAGGGATCCCATGGCGTACACTCCTAGACCAACCCCCAGGAATCCTTAAACCCTAACAGATTTCTGAGTCAGTTTTGGTCAGTAGATGCTTCTATCTCAAGTCCCCTCACCCCAACTCTAAATTTACCAGCGGTGAATCCCAATAATTTATCCCTGGCTGACTTTCAAAAATGTTTTATGTATAATCTATCTATCTATCTATCTATCTATCTATCTATCTATCTATCAAAGCCTAAGGACCACTGCAACCTAATGGACGACTGAACAGGCTGTGTGGGGAGACCAGGACAGCAGGAGGGGTAGTTGGGGATGATCAGACAGGCAGGCAGGTGAGTCGTTAGGAGTCATTGGTCCCGGATTTTGGGAGGGTGCAGAGTGGGCTGAGGAGACCAAACCCCCCCACCCCCATGCACAAATTTTATTCACTGGGCCTTTAGTCATTTATAATGACTGCCTTACGTTTTGTCCATCATACTCTCAAAGAATAGATGCTTGAACTAAAGTGTGGGGACCAGGCTTTAACTCCAGCAGCACCCCACCTTCTCTTCCTAACCCTAGTTCATGGCTCGTGATGAAGGTTCACAAAGGAGCCGGTGACAGGAGCAGTCCTGAACTGGGAGCAGACCTGTAAGGAAATCCTTCCCAAGGAGCCTTTTTGAGAATAAAAGCAGCCTATGTGATCATTTTAAGATGCCGTGGCATTTGCTGGACCCAGATGAAATATCCCGGCATATTTTTTATTTCCTTGGTGCTTTGTAGAAAATCTCAGACAATCTCACTAATGAATTGGGGACTTAGAAAAACATGAACGGAACCTTAAATTTCAGTGATGTCTTCCTCAGCCATCAGGAGGGCGGTGGGATCAATCACAGCTCCCGGCCTCGCCTGGAGACACCGCAGCTGGCACCTGTGGAATGAAGAACCCCAGGCCTGAGCCTCTGCACCAATCAAGAGCCACCAGCAAAATCAGTGCCACGTGGTGGGATGCATTTACCCAGCAGCCCTCCTGCTCCCAGCCACTTCCCCAGGAACCAATCGCAAATCACTGCCCCTGAGGTCATTTCCCGCCTGCCTGGCAGTGCAGCGTTCATTTGTGGACAGGGCGCCCGACAGGAGGTCTCTGTGGGGTATCTTTAGAGCAGGTGCTCCCCTCAGAGACCGTGCAGCCTGCTCTGCTTCTCTCTAATAATTGTATGATAATCAATTCGCCTTTTGATCTCTTCAACATGTGGATGAGGCCTGTTTTCAGACGGGTCCTTAGATGCACTTGAATTTTATCCATCTTCAAAACCTGGGCGTGTGCCCTGACCAGGATTCAAACCGTGATCTCCTGGTTCATAGGTGGATGCTCAACCACGGAGCCACACTGGCCGGGCATGTCCTATCAGTCTAAAATAGAGTGCTGTCCTTTCATAGACTTAATCTAAGTCTCATGGTAAGCACCAGGATCCTGACCCATTTCACATCTGGCCCGCTTCCGCTCTGCCAGCTGCCTGCTCCTCGCTGAACTGCAGCTGTGGCTGCTACAGGAGCCTTGACTCTGGGAAGCACAGGAAACGGTTTATGAGTAGACAGTGGAAGGAGCGACTCCCCTGACGAGGCAGGGCCATCGCTGAGAGATTGCCTGTGGTGAGAAAACAATGAAAGAAGACTGTGTCCAGTCACTTTGCCAGGTGGGAGGGCAGCAGGGCCTGAGAATATTTTAGAGGAAATACAAGTGGCCACACTTCTATGGGGTATAAGAAGAACCGACCATCACAGCTGCAGGCTAAGGAAGCTGACTGCCTTGCATCACCATTCAGCTCTGCTGCTATTTACATACTAGAGGCCTGTTGCAGGAAGATTCCTGTAAGAATAGGTCTCCCTTCTCTTCTGCCTCGCCCCCTCCTTTCTCCTCTGCCTCAATCCCTCTCCGCCGCTTCACTCTCTTCTGCAGCGCCTGGCTTCCTTCTAGCTGTCTTCAGTCTCTGCAATTGCATATGCAAATTAGCCACCATCTTTGTTAAGTAATTTGCATACTCGTTCCTGATTGGCTGGTGGGCATAGCAGAGGTATGGTCAATTTACATGTTTGTCTATTATTAGGTAAGACTTAAATGACCTGCTTTGGGTACACAGGTGGCTTAGGAAGTAAGTTAGACTTACCTGGGAAAACCAAGAATTAGCCTTAGCAGCGGTGTGGTTACCTAGAGTTGACCAGGGTCCACTTTTTGATATGATTACTCTGTACAGGCGGATTCTACGGGGCGAGGAGCTGTGCGTGATACCCTTCGCACCAGGTGCTGTAGTTGTTTTCTCACCTGTTGTTACAGAGAACCTCAGATGGACACGACGGGTGGTGCTTGTGCGTCCATGGCTCCCGCCCCTCGCTGCAGTCAGCACCGCCGCCTCTGCGTCCTCCGGGTCGTGAGCAAGGACGGCGAGAACAAGGGCAGGCCCTTCTACACGTGTCCTCTCCCCAGGGAAGCGCAGTGCGGGTTTTTCGAAGTAAGTGTGAGATTTGTCAGCCTTGCTCTGGTGGAGTTGAATACTGGGACCATTGAAACGTGGCACATAAACATCCTTTTCTGATCTCACCTTTAAATTTCAAATAGCCATGTTGACATTCAGTCTAAAGCCTGAGTTAAAATTCAAGGCGGTTCATCAAAAAACTTAATCCAACGATAGCTCTTGTCTTAGTAGCGCATCTCCTTTTTGCAGCCACGGTGTGGAGGTGTCGCCCTTGGTTTATGAAATAGAAAGGCCTTGAGTAATCCTCCCAGGGGGCTACATAATGCAAGGTGCAGACTCTTCATTTCGGTGCTGTTATCAAAACCTTCAGGTGCCCTGCACAGAGGTACATGGGAAAAGCATCACCGTGCTTTGAGTTTACTCTGTACTTAGCGACTGCTACTGCTTGAGCTTGATCCAGCAGTAGGGATGGCACAGTAACAGTGCAGACACAGAAAATTCCTCACACGTCACTGATCAGTGCATGTGCCTCTGGAAATGAATGGGAGACAAAAGTTGGGTCCTTCTGGGCCTGGCCAGTGTGATTCAGTGGTTAGAGGTCAGCCCATGCACCACTGAAGAGTATCGGGTTCCATTCCTGATCAAGGGTTACAGGTCCATCCATGGTTCCCATGGAACACCTGAAGGAGGTAACCAGTCAAACACTCTCTCTCTCTCTCTCTCTCTCTCTCTCTTCCCTCCCCCCTTCACTCTCTCTAAAAATCAATGGAAAAAATATCCTCTGGTGAGGATTAACAACAAGAACAAAGAATTGGGTCCTTCTGGTCCTTCTCACTCTGCTTCCCTCAGAACTGAGCATCCACTGTGCTGAGTGTCACTCTCGTGTTTCAAGATACATGCCTTTCAACTGCTTCTTCTGGTGTGTAACAGAGAAGAGAAAAGCGGACCTGTCCCTGAGCTGGAGCACCAGGTTCATGCTGGCCTTATTGAGAGGGGAAATGTCTGTTTTCAGTGCAGGGTCCTCCTCAGGAAGTTCCAGGGAAAATATGATCATGATTTCAGATTTTAACGTGGCACAAGATTGACTCCCTCCGGTCACACCGTGTGGCTCCTCAGGAGGCTATTATAGGCGTAATGGAGAAATATTAGAAACGTTAATCGTATCACAGCCTGCTTGATACCCATCTTGAGGCCAAACTTCATAAGAATAAGAGTAGCACAGTGGAACCGCCTAAATTAGTTCGGGTAATTCTGAATTGGATTTATTCTTTGCTTAGGAGATGAAGGAAGTCTAATATTAGAATCAGGGATGTTCTTTGATCTTAAAAGTGTTTTTTTTAAATACATTTTTATTGATGTCAGAGAGAAAGAGAGAGGGAGAGGTAGAGGTAGAGGTAGAGGGAGAGAGAGAAAGAGAGATCAATGATGAGAATCATCAATGGGCTGTCTCCTGCACATTCCTTACTGGTGATCAAGTCCAAAACTCACACATATGCCCTAACAGAATCAAACCGTGACCTCCTGGTTCATAGGTAATTACTCAACCCACACTGACCAGATGATATTAATAGTTTTACCAGTAACTAAAACAGATCTGCAGGAACATTGGTGTTTGCTTCACAGCAAGACAAAGGAAAGCTCTGAATTATGGCAATTTTCTGTGTGATCATAGCAAAATTGTAAGAGGTGCTTCTTATAGGATACTAGAGGCCCAGTGCATGAAATTGTGCATGGGTAGGGTCCTAGCAATTGCAGGCTGCTGGCTGGGGCCTCCCTTTGTTCCTTGCCACCCCCTGGTGGTCAGCGAACATCACAGCAAGCTATCAAACTCCCAGGTAGGTGGAACTCTTGAGAGGACACTTTGCATATTAGGCTTTTATTTATATATAAAATATATATATATATATATATATATATATATATATATATATATGTAGCCCTGGACATGAATCCGTTTGCCAATAGCTCACCAGCAGCTCCCTCTGCTCTCCCATCCCCCCCTCCCCCATAACTTACTGCCCTGCCCCCTCCTTTAGCTCTCTGCCGCCCACTTGATCCATGATCCAGTCGTTACATGGTCAGTCGTTACACCGAAGACCATTTGCATATTACATCTTTTAATATATAGGATATATATATATATATATATGCTTTTTTAATGGTAACAATGAATGACTTCAGTTGGTTTTACGACGTCAAATTGATAGTCACGACAATGAGGCAATGTGGCACTGATCAGAGGGGCCCAGGCTGAGCCCCTGGGTACTTCTCGCTTCCCTCCACCTCTCCTCTCTCTCTGTTTGTCCCGGCAGTGGGCAGACCTGTCCTTCCCGTTCTGTGACCACGGCAAACGCTCCATCCTGAGGACAGTGCTGAAGATGGGCCCCAACAACGGGAAGCGGTTTTTCGTGTGTCCTCTTGGTAAAGAAACTCAGTGCCGTTTCTTCCAGTGGGCGGCCCGGGCCCGGAGTGAGCACTGCTCCAGGCGCTAACCCTTCTTCTGCAGAAGATCCGGCAGCTGAGCTCCCAACCACGCGTGCTCAGTCCCCTGGAGTTTATAGAAAGTCCGCAGACTGTCCGTGGCGCATGGTGAAGTCATGCAGCATCTGAAAACTGTCCATTTTTTTGTGTGCGTTTCATCTTTCCATTCTATGGCTGCATTTTTTTAAACCTTGATGAATGCTATTTGAGTTTCATCAGATGTACAGTGTGTTACACTTACTATGTCTATTTAATGTGTTTATTAATGACAATAAAGTATTTTTAGCATGCTCTTGGTCTCTTGTGACTTCTTTGGGGAAGAAATGATTTCTTTTAGAAGAGGATTAGGCAGAACCATAAAATATTAAGCTCTTCTGTCTTACATGAGTAATTTTCTCAGGTAATACCACTACTCATGCAATTAAAGGTACTTTTTGTTTTTCTAAATAACATTAAAGAAATTTGATCTTCTTTAGGGAAAAGAATGTTTTCTTTTTTACTTTGTATTTTATTCAACAAACACATTCCTGTTAGATGCTAGAGATATACCAAGCATTTGTCTAACTTCAAGTGCATTTTCATGGAAAGCTGCAGTTATTCAGAATATCCAAGTTCCATGGAAGAACAGAAATTGTCTGGATAGCTTTGGGAGACAAGTTCATTTAGACTTTTCTTATCTTGATTTTAATATCTATTAATTAATTTTTAAAAATAAATCAACTTCAAAAACTCATTAATGAGCTATATTTTGCTTCTAGTTTTAAATTAGATCTCCTTTTTATTTTTATTTTTTATTTTTTATTTTTATTTTTCACATTTAGTTCAGGTAACCAGATGAATATTTATCCCAAAGAAAATAAAAACTCAATCTTAAGGTATTTCTGCATATTTGTGGGAAATTTCCATTCAGGGTGGTTCCATCTATTTAAAATTAAAAAAAAAAAAAAATTAAACAAAGCCAAGGAAAATGGCTTGCATTCTGTCTAAATTGTCCATGCAGAGGTCTTGAAGGTAACAGCATGTGAGGTTACCAGCAAGACTGAGCCCATTTCCTCCTATATAATAAAGAGCTAATATGCTCATTAGACAGGACAGCGGAATGACCTTTCAGAAGACCACTGGGCAGGGCCTCGAGACCTGAGGCAGCCGGGCTGCAAGGGCCGAGCTGCTTGCATGAATTTTGTGCATTGGGCCTCTAGTCTTATGTTTGAACTCTGCACTGGAGAGAAAATTAGAACCAACCTGAGATCAGGGATCTTAACCCAAAGATCTCAAGGGGGCAGCGACTCCATGGGGCAGACCAGGCACCAGACTGGACTATTGACGGCCTTAGTGAAGCCATGTGACGTTCAGCATGTGCTTTCAGAAGGAAACTGCCCATGGATCATGGCAAGGTCTGCTCCAAGTCTGGCTGCCATGAAGTCCCATCTCCAAAATTAGCCCCGTAATTACAAGGAAATATAGGCAAACGACACAATTTCAATATGATAAGCCTACGTGCTTCTCTAATAAGAAATGTGCAGGATTTATATGAAGAAAACTTTATTAAGGGACTTTGAAGAGCCAGGCGGATAGGCAAAATAGGACCTTGTTTAGAAAGGATTTGTTTTTTATTTTTGAGAGAGACATCAATTTGTTGTTCCACTTATTTATGCATTCATTGGTTGCTTCTTGCATGTGCCCTGACCGGAGATCAAACCTGCAAGCTTGATGTATCAGAATGAGGCTCTAACCCACTGAGCTACCCAGCCAGGGCAAGGATAGATGTTTAGAAATGGCATTCTTCCAAAGCTAATTTTGAGTTCTAACAAAATTTCATGCCAGCATCTCAAGGAGGTTTCTGCTTCCGCTGTGGAGGAAGCTCTAGCTGAACCCAAGTCCAGGTTCTGGACAAAATAGAAAACAATGCTGGAATGTGGAGAGGAGCGGGCAGATTGTGGAGCGGTGTGAGCCAGAGGTGATTTTCCTTTTTGTACAGTTTTTATCCCTAGGAGAAGGTCAGGCTCAGGCAGGCTGGCCAGAGCTCCGCTGACAACCCGTTCCCCTCAGGCCTGCAGAGCTCGCAGCCATCGGGGAAACGGGGGCCATGGAAAGAGAGAACTCTTAAGGAGACATTGAGAAGGGAAACCCCAAGTTCTGTGTCCTTGGCTGACCCCTGAGTCACACACATGTGGGTGCGGCAGACTGAACAAAGAGCAGCTAAAGGTGAAAGAACTGGCACCCAGGGAAAATCCGGGTTTGAATCCAACCCGATGAGTTGCCTGCTGAGACAGAAACATCCGGTCTCTGCGGAGGAACAGACCAAACCCGGTCTCCACCACGTGATGCTCACAAAGTTCAGGAGCCGCTCCAAGTTATGCAACGTAAGAGCCAAATAATGTGACCCCGTTTCAGAGAAAAGACAACCCACCAGCCCGACCCAAGATGACTGAGACGTTGGAATTAGCAAGTAAGGATTTCAAAGCAGCTGTGACCGCTGAAGTAAATGCTGAAGGAAAGCGATTCCAGATGAAAGTTCAAATCTTCAAGAAGCAATCAGAAAACCTAAAACGGACTCTAAATAAAGGAATAGAAAATGTTGTTGCTTCTTGGAAGTTGAAGAATGAGAGCCAAGGGTTTGGGGGGTCTAAATATTTTATTATTTGGGTCCTATCGCCTTCTCTAATAGAAGAGTAGGAAGGGAGGGAAAAGACAGGAGGTTTAGAGAGATGAAAAAGTGACGATAGGAAAAACTGACTTTGTGAAAGGGAAAGAGAAGGGCACCCTCAAAGCACCTACAGGAGCCCTTCCATCCACAACACATCAGAAACTGCCATCAGAAACACACATTGATGGGCAGTCGACCAGAACACCGCCTTCTGACTTTTTAACATGACGCCTTCACTATGAGGACCAAATGCTGTCATAAACCCCGCCCTGCAGAGCGAATCAGCAGCCTCATTGCAGCGATCCTACATACACCTTCCAGTCCATACTATGCCCCTCCCAGCCACCGGCTCCGGCATTCCGGCTTACAGATTAATACATACTTGTCACCGAAATTGGTTTGGCTCAGTGGATAGAGCATCGGTCTGCGGACTGAAAGGTCCCAGATTCTATTCCTTGTACCTTGCATGTACCTTGGTTGCAGACACATCCCCGGTAGGGAGTGTGCAGGAGGCAGCTGGTCAATGTTTCTAGCTCTCTATCCCTTTCCTTTCCTCTCTGTGGAAAATCAATAAAAATATATTTTAAAAAATTACATACTTGTCTGCTTTCAATATGCATCTATTTTCGTCATGATTACGTTATTATATTCAGCACAGAAAAGGAATTTATTTTGCTCTCAGGGGCGGAAAACAACTTGGGAAACTGTACAGAGCAGGAGACGTGTCAACTCATAAGTATTTGCGTTGGTTATTGACTCATTAGTCTGATAACTCGTTTTCTCCCGACGTGAATAATTTAAACGCATTAGAAATGATGTGGCATTAAAAAGTGTGTTCTGAACGTGGTGAGCGCTGGATCCAGGGTCTGAGTTGGTGGTTATTACTTATTTAAAATAAACAAGTGCATTCCGTTGAGCTATGGTCTCATTTTCAGGAATGGCCTATTAGCAGGCAGCAGCGAGACAACAATTAACCGTATCAGCGCATTAAAGACTAATGTGTAAACCCAACATAGCAGCAAACACACACCCTACCACGGCCTATTAAGTAATCAGAAGCGAGTGCAGATAATTAGCTCCGGAGCAGCTGCACAGACTCCAGCTTTCCGTTTTTTATCCGGCCTGGAGACTCGGAGATGGCAGGGCTGGTGATCAGCTCTGTCCTGAACCGGGTGGAAGGGTCACCGTGGGACACACAGGGACAGAGCCCAGCACGTGACGGCACCTGCCATTTTACACTCCCCCCTGATGCTTCTGAGGGTCACATGCAGCTAGACCTACGGTGAAAATTAGGAAAGCCGAGGATATCATCAGTGAACAAAAAAATCGCTTGTAAATCTGGAAATGGAATGAAATAGGATCATACAGGAATCTGTTGATAGATTCCTTTGATGGGTTTGCATCATCCATATTTATTGGTATTTTAGATCAGATTTGAGTTACACATTTCCCTTATAGCCCTTCTGAATGAGACTGTATTCAGAGGCATACCTGAGTGATGAGATGCACAGTAAGTGTACAGTTGTGCTTGAATTGACAAAGGTACTTATGTAATTTCTTTCTTAAACTAAACAATGCAGACTCCTTTTCTCTGTCCTTTTTTTTTTTTAGGTCAGAAAGCATGCTGACAGAGCGCGGTGAGCACCTGGAGGAATCTGAGCCCCGACAGGAGAAAGAAAGAATGTGTTCATTTCACACAGGCCCGGGAAACAGAATGAAGAGACACAGGTTTCATTCGAAAAGCCCACAACTTTAAAACTGGAGCTCTTAGAACTGAGATCGGCCCGCTGGGAGGTGCTCAGGGCCGCCGGGGCTGTGCTCAGATACATTCAGGGACCGCCCCCCTCCGCGTGAGGATAGATTAGAAGGGACCTCAGGGTCCAGCAAAGGCCCCAGGACATTGTAGGAACTAACCCTCCAAAGGAGACGGTTCAGCAGGAAGAAGTGCATCTTCAGATGACGCGGAAAGCTCAGGTGCTGCTTTCCTGGATGCTTCTGTGATGCTTTTGTTTCCTGTGAAGTTACATTGAGCACTTGCTCTTTGCTTTTTTATTTTTTATTTTATTTATTTTATAAAAGTTAGTTTTGCCAAAACCGGTTTGGCTTAGTAGTAAAGGTCCCAGGTTCGATTCCAGTCAAGGGCATGTACCTTGGTTGCGGGCACATCCCCTGTAGGGGGTGTGCAAGAGGCAGCTGGTCGATGTTTCTCATTGACGTTTCTAGCTCTCTATCTCTCTCCCTTCCTCTCTGTAAAAAATCAACAAAATATATTTTTTTTAAAAAAGTGAGTTTTCATTTTATTTATAGGCCACCCAAGGGTGAAGTGGGTAGAGAGGGGGATGGGTAAGATGGATGGATAGATGG